ACTCAAAGGTATTATGAGTGAATGCAAAAGAATTGCGAGAGCTCGTATAAGTTTTTCAAGGGAAGGCAAAGAAGGGAACGTAAAGGTATTGCGAGGGAACGCAAGAGAATTGCAAGGGCATGCAGAAGTATTGCGAGGGAACTCAAAGGTATTGTGAGTGAACCAAAAAGAATTGCGAGACCTCGTAAAAGTATTGCGAGGGAACGCAAAAGGTATTGCGAAGGAATGCAATAGAATTGCAAGAGCTTGCAAAAGAATTGCAAGGGAATGCAAAAGTTATTGCGAGGGCACGCAAAGGTATTGTGAGGAAATCCAAAAGTATTGCGAGGGAACACAATAGCATGCAAGGGCATGCAAAAGTATTGCGAGGGAACTCAAAGGTATTATGAGTGAATGCAAAAGAATTGCGAGAGCTCGTATACGTTTTTCAAGGGAAGGAAAAGAAAAGAATGCAAAGGTATTGCGAGGGGAACGCAATAGAATTGCAAGGGCATGCAGAAGTATTGCAAGGGAACTCAAAGGTATTGTGAGTGAACGCAAAAGAACTGCGAGAGCTCCTAAAAGTATTGTGAGGGAACGCAAAAGGTATAGCGAAGGAACGCTATAGAATTGCAAGAGCTTGCAAAAGAATTGCAAGGGAATGCAAAAGTTATTGCGAGGGCACGCAAAAGTATTGCGAGGACATCCAAAAGTATTGCGAGGGAACGCAAAAGTAAAAAGTATTGCCACGTTACCTGGGGGGCTCCATGAAAATGGAAGGTTGTCTCAAATGAACTTTTAAATTTATGATATTTGCTCATGTCATAACAGATAGGAGAAGAGCCTGAACCATAGAGAACCGTGCTCCATGTGACCGGCCTGCTCTCTGGTCGATGCACTCTTTCAACGTCAATGTCACTGTTTATTACTTTAAATTCCCAGTGCCTTAATAAATACTTATGTGTAAAACAAACAAATAACTAAACAAATATATAAAGTGTCTATCATTTTCAAGGGCTCTCTTCAAAGCTAAGTATGACTTTGGTCCCAGTGCGAAAGAGCCAATGACTGTACCAGAGTTCTAGTTTCCTCTGGAGGGAAGCGTGTCCTCACCTTGCGGTAGAGTCTGTTCCAGCGGGTGAACAGAGCGTGCTTGCAGAGCCGCGAGGGCGTGGCCGTGTCCCTTCTCCGTCCGGTCGCAGTGTTGACCAGCTCCAGTTGCTGGTCGCCCTGCGTCCAGTTGAGGCTAACACACGTGGCCTTCCCTGGCTGCTGATACTCAGTGCTGCTCAGCCCTGTGGGGAAAGAAAACGGTGGCTTCATGGAGGGTAAAATTTCAGTAACATTCGAGGGATTGCCCTACAAGGAGGTTCACCGAAAGCAAAAAAAGTTTAATTGAAGGCCTTGTAAGGTGAATTTAGCGACTTTGGGCTTTTCCTCTCAATCGCCCACTTTGTTATGTGGTTTCACCTTCGTCCACCCTTGCCTTGCCCTCTCCCTGAGGATCCCTGATGGCTCACGTAAAGTTTTGCAGCGCTGCAATAACCCACGTCAACGTGAGCCTGAAACCGCACGGCTGTTTATGTGAAGCTTTGATACGACCCCCCAGAGAGAGAGGGAAAGAGGTTGAAAAGGAAAAGCTATCAATGAAAAAAGCAATGTTGTCCCTGCCTTTGTGGGAGTGATTGTCCGCTCTTGCATCCCCGCAGTTAATGTTTGAGCTATATATGCTGTAAATATTATCTCTGTTCACAAAGATCTGGGCTGTCACCCCGTTTCGTCCTCTCTCTACTTTTCTGACGGAAATAATTTGCCTCACCAGCAAAGGACACAAAAGGGGATAGAGAAACAGGGTAGGCAGGAAGAGGGAGAGTGGCCATAGGAGGTTTCAAGGAGAGAATTAGCTGTCCGCATTCAGGACACAGGTATTGGCAATGGTGCTTGGCCAGTGGTGGAACAGAAGCGGACTGTGTGGTCAGAAGCAAATGAGGCCTCAGGGCCAGTGTGAGTTTTTCATAGGAACCGATTTTCCCAAGGTATTCACGTTAAGTAAAACACAAGTCTTGACTTCCACCTGATATTATATCCTGAAGCAAAATGTTAAAGGACAAAGCAAAACATACCTGCCCGAATTTTTTAGGCCGTATATCTTTATTGAATTTAAGCGGCTCTTATTTTCACAGAAACAATTAGTAATGGCCGAGTCTGCATTGAGTAGAAAGAAAATTTGACCAAAAACAAACAGAAAAAAGACAGAGAACTATATGAGAAAATCATGTTAGGGCCAAGAAAAAAGTTTTTGTCAAGTGGCATGAGAATATTCTGTCTGTTCTGTTGAAAATTCGGTGGGTGAAATAGACTAGCTAGCTAACAAACGGTTAGCCCCGTCCGCCCTGAAGGAAATAATGACTACAAAACTCACATGCGTATTTTCATAATAGAAATGTCAAAAGTAAACAAGACGATGAAATGTCCAATATTTTATTCCATTCAATTGAACAAATCAGCTCTTAATTCCCCGGCTGAGGTGAGCTATGATGCTATGCTAAATTAAGCTAACCGAGTAAGGAATGTGCTTTATTCCAGCAATAATTCATTTCTACAACGTTGACATTTTTGGTGACAAAAACTATGTGACTGTTACATTGTACAAATGTACTGAAAATGTGTAGTACATAGTCAGAATATTCAAATCAATAATAACAAGTTGTCGTTTGGCCAAAAGTTTCTTGTAGCATTGATAAGTTACATATCTCCACCTATTCAGAAAACTGGTTTTTGGTGTTAGTTTGACTCCCAACAGAGTTTTTTTGTAACGCCATGCAGTCTGTAAGGGGCCTTTTCAGCAGCAAATGCCTTTGATCTCATCATCTGGTAGACAGCTTGTTATAATATAAAACCTCATCAACAACGCCACAATAGATGCCTGCAGATCATTTCCACGTTCATTTTCCCATCTTCATTCTTCCATTCACCGGTCCCACCTCTTATTTTCCGTTGCTCCGTGAAGCTAGAATGAATCACCTGCCACAGTAACAATCCTCCAAGTCTCTTATTACCCATCCCTCCTCTCTTGTGCAGACGCACCTCTTTGAACAAAAGACCTTCCTATCCATCCTGCTTTTTTTTCCTTGCCTCTCGCTCCATTCATGGCTCATTTCATCCCTTCAATGGACTTGACTCCTGTGTTTCTGTAATAGCCAATTTGATTTTTCCTTCATTGAAGACTTGATCAATGCCTCCTCTGGGAAGAGCTTGGCAGACATGAAAGCGGCTGAATCGGAGCATTTGGTTATGGGATTCATCGCTGACTTTACATGCAGGGTTTTATATCTGAGCGTGCTGCTGTGTGTTTGACTGAAGGTGCCGCATCTATTTTTACGTGGCGATGAATCAGAGGAGGAGCCGTGAAGCAACAGCCACTTTTTGTGGCATAAACACACCTCAGCAGCGCCTTTGTACAGATTAGGATTGTGAATGAGGGTTACAAATCCCTGTCAAACCTGGGGAGCTTTTTGGTTAACCCCAGAAGAAATACATCTTTTTAACAACTTGATGACTACTAAAATCCTGCAATATGCAGGCTTGATGTTATATACAGCTTTTTCCTGAACTCAAATGTGAATTTTCAGCTATTTTAAGCGTCTATCTGTTCTCACAATGACACACTCGTTTGGCACCGTCCAAATTGTTTGAAGTTAAGTTAAGCTTATATTAAAAGGTCCGCTTTACAGCTACAGATGCTGACTGATGTGTTCTGGAGCTGTGGAGAATCAAAGGCAAATCAAAGAATTCCATGTGTTCATTTACTTTAAAAGGTCCTTTTGGGGACTTGGTTCTTCATTCTTTTCTGTTTTTCATCTATGTATAGCACACTTGTTGCAATGCATTTGAATGAAATGTGCTTTATAAATAAAGATTGATTGATTGATAATTGACTAAAGCAATTAAAAAAAAAATTCCCTTTGGTGAGAAATCAATCAGTATCTATATTTACATTTAAACCCCAATCAAAGTTATCCTGATTAGATCATTCTTTAAACACACACACAGACACACACGGACACACACACAGAAGATTGAATCACTGCTTCAAACAGGAGAAGCTGAAAAAAAGAAAAACGAATGGGCCTTATTAATGTTCTCCTTTCTCTGAGTCCTTTTATCCAAAAATAAACTAGACAGTCACAGTCTCTGTTAGCTGAACAGCAGGACAAGAGTGAAGGACAGGTCGGTCCATCGATGTGTTTGGCCCTCGGGGTTCAGGTGGCGCTGCTTTGGCTGCCTGTGATAAGACCGGGCCCTGCGCTCCCCGGGAAGATCCTCTGGGGACGTTTAAAAAAAACAAAACAAAACAAAAAAAACACCCCGGACTCACAATAGCCAGGGAGCTCATCAGAGTCAATGAAAGGACGTCGGAGGATGTGGGATGAAGTGTCATACGTGTGTAGAAATCTGAATGGAAGTGAGGGCCCTGTCCTTTTTTTTATCCCCCTCCTGCATTGCTGCTCCCCCCTCCCTCCTCTTTTTTTTCCCCGGCCTGGCCCTCTCTCCCTTTCCAGAGCTCCCTTCAGATTGAATGGCTGTCTGATAAGAGCTGTGATTACATTGATTTGGTGTAGGGCCATTTCCACTGTCTGTCCATCTCCCTTCTCAACTTTTACCCTTGTACCCTTCAATAAACTGTTTCTACTCAAAGCAATTCAGGTGCACAGATCTGACAGTCCAAAACACACACACACACACACATTCGCGTTTTCATTATATATAAGGACGTATGACGGAAATAGGACAAATGGGTATGTGCCTTTCCAATGGTTCTACAGGTCTTAGAATCCCAGAGTTTCCTATCCATGCATTCAGGAAAGCATTCATCTATTGAAATTTTAGCTAAAGCAACATTTTGAGAAATCCCAATTCAGGCACGCACAAACACACATGCACACATACACACATACAAAAGCATGCAGAATGTATAATAGTTACAAAACTTATTATCATAGGTGTGAAAGATAATTGAAAGCTTTTACCTGAGAATATTCTACAAGTGTCAAGTGCCGGTTGCAACATCTGCAAGCAAATTTAACATCTAGCAGGTTGATTTTATTGAACAAAATGTGAGAAATCGTATGTAGCTGAAACCCGTATGGTTGCAATTACACGTGCTGAAAGCATTAGTATGTATTTTTTTCAATCCCTAGCATCATTGACAATGACATACCGCCTTTTGCTGTATGTGACGCTGTTATCATGAAGGATCCCCGGCAACCAAACGTGTCCCACATCTCTGTCCTCGCCCCGCTTCTCCGACTGGCCTCGATCTAAAGTGATGGCTGACGCCGCTTCTACAAGCTGGATGTCATTCAGATTGTCTGCCAGCATTCATCTCCGCCACAAAGCGAAGGCCTCGGGGGTCTCGGAGGAGCCCCTGGAAGCCGACTTGCCAAATGGCTTCCGAGTTGTTGCCTGTCTGGATGGCACCGTGTGAGGGAAGCAGTGGAGCGGGAGCTTGTGAAGTGTGTGGGGTTAGTTACTTGTGATCTGTTGTTATGCATTTGGCCCGAAGCCGACACGTTTTTTCTTGAAGGAAGTCTCTTTAAAAATAGGCAGAGCACTGTACACACGCAGGCCCGGATCTCTGGGTATGACAGAATTCAAAGGCAAGGTAGGAACAGAGAACAGTGTTTCTGTGAAAAAGCTCAGATGAATCCTTAAAGTCACATATTTTTTTTCTTTTTTTGGAAAAAAAAGAGCCTTGGAAACTAAAACTAGCTAGTTTAGTCAGTGTCTGGACAAAGACAGAGGAAGAGTCACATAAAAAATGTGTCCAAAAAACGTAACTTTGCAAATGTAATAACTTGGGTGTTTTTTTTTAAAGGCTGTTTTATGCAGCTTTAAAGTGAGGAGTCGAAAACAACGCAGAAGGGAAACCTAAAATGTTTTTTCCAGGCCGACTGTTTCCTGTGGTATTAACGCAGTGGCTTTGATACGTCTGTCAAAACACAGCTGAAAGACAACACAGCAGCTAGTTTTTCCACCTTTGTTCGGGCTGACCCGTTTTAGGGTACAGAGTGACCCACTTATTCCATCCCCACCCTCTTCTCTGGGGTTTGCTCCTTTCCAGATCAGGGGTGCTAATTTACACTTGAAACAACATCGCAGGCTTATGACAGAGGATGCTCTCAAAAGCCTGAGAGCTCCCACAAACCCACATTGCAGTTTTTTTCTAACCTTTATCGCTTTTTAATTGACATTTTATCCTAAAACTGTATTTAGCCTGGACCATATAGGATATGTAAACCCTGGGCTTACTGTGTCAATTCTGCTAGTCCACCATCAATCAATCAATCACCATCATATTACGACTTATATTTTGATTTTTGTTTTAAATAGACAAAAGCAAACGGCAACAAACACCAACAAATGAAAGACGCCAGATGACCTGACAGTAGCAACAAAGACAAAACAGAGAGAGGAGCCCAGGGCAGTGTTGGTGTATCCAAAGTAAAACTTCAGACTAGATTCGAATAGTGACCATTGCACCATCGGCATATGAGGAATCCACCCTGGACAGTCCACCAGTCCATCGCAGGGCTACACAGAGACACACAAGGACCACCAACCACGCACATTCACACTCACTCCTAAGGGCAATTTGGAATGTCCAACCAACCTAATGCAGGTTTTTGGACGGTGGGAGGAAGCCGTAGAACCCGGAGAGAACCAACGCAGACACAGGGAAAACAGGCAGACTCCACCCAATAAGGTCCTGGTTCCCCTAGGGACTCGAACCCAGAACCCTTCCGCTGTGGGGGCGGCACGTTGGTAAGGTGGTTAGCACCTCATAATCCTTAAAAACGGCATCCTTATTATACTGTCCCCATTACTACTGAGGCACCCTCACCACCTTCATCCTACCTCTATAGAAAGAAAATAAATAAAAAGTTAAAAAAGAAGAGAAAAGAAAAAGTAACGGGTATAGAAGATAAGAAGATTAAAATGAAATAGTAAACTTTCATATATACACACAAGCAGTCACATATGGATAAACATATATTGCTTATACAAATCAGAGGTGAGGTGGGTGAAACAGAACCGAAGAGTCTGGGAACGCTTAAGTTCAGTCGCACGCAATGAGTGAAATTGCCAAAACTTTCCCCACATTTTCCCAAATGCCGCCACCTTACCCACTTCAAAGACCCATTACCCTGTTAGCGAATGTGATGGAGAAATGTAGGGTTCCCTAGTATGTAGCATTCAGGACGGAGTTTGAACTCGACATACTTGGGAATTAGTTTTCCTCAAACTCGCTTTTACACTTCCCAAACTGCTTCTGAGTGTCCTCTCCTGTGGAGACAGGTTCCAGTTTGGGTCCGGGAGGCAGACATCTTCTCTACATTTAAGAGTAGGCATAAGACTTTCCTTTATGATAGAGCTTATAGTTAGGGTGAGTCCACCCTTAGTTATGCTGCTATAGGCCTAGACTGCCGGGGGATTTCCCATGATGCACCGAGGTTTCTGCCTCTTAAAAGGCAGTTTTTCCTTGCCTGTGTCGCCTAGTGCTTGCTGTTGGTGGGAATTGCTGGACTTCTGTAAATAACTCACTGCCTCGCTGTTACGTTTCCGCTTCCTTCCAACCCCCCCATCCCTCCCTCCCTATTTGTCCTTGATGTTGTGATTTGACTGTATCTGTGCTTAAGTGAACTGAGGTGTTTTAAAAAAAATCACTGTTACGTTCCCTGTAGGGGGCGTGGCACTGGGCCTTTTTTTACCCCTCTTCCCGCAACAACTTTCTTGATGTATCTTTGTTCCGAAGAAAAACGGTGCGCCCCCTTGAGTGGCTGCCCACGGTTTTCCCGAACTGATGTGTCTATGTGTTGTGTTTCTTTGCATGATCTTGGTACGGGCTGGAAGTTAATTTCTTCTTGTGAGATCAATAAAGTATTCATCAATCAATCAATCAATCATCAATCAATCAATCAATCAATCAATCAATCAAACTTCAGAGTCTGACCTGCTCTGTTTTTAAAACCTGGGAGATAACTGTTGTCGTGATGTGGCGCTATAGAAATAGAATGGAATTGAAATTAATTCAATTGGCCCTGCGATGGACTGGCGGACTGTCCAGGATGACCCTGCCTCTCGCCCATTGACCACTGGGATAGGCTCCAGTTGTCCCCGCGACCTTATTAGGGCATAATTGGTAACGATAATGTATGGATGGATGGATTGAACTGATTCTGGATCACCCGGAGGTGGGGGGCGACTGACCGCTCAGCAGGGGCTGGTTGCGGCGGAAGGCGGCGGGCAGCGAGCCCAGGCGCTCCTGCCGCTGGTGCAGAACCCGGCCCAGGTGGCCCGTGTGGCGCAGGCTGCCCACCGTCACGCTGTGCAGGTAGACCGGCTCGACAAAGTGGCTCAGCAGCGCCCCCTGCAGCCCCAGGACGTTCCACCTGAGAGGGGGGAGGAGGAGGAAAAGGGACAATAAGTGGCTTTGATGGAAGAAAGGGACAAACAGAGATGAAGGAGGAGAGACAGAACCGGGCGTTAGACACAGAGGGGAAGACAGATGCCAGAGCCTTGATGACAGGTCGAGACAATTTGATCGTTATCTTGATGGGGGACGTGATGGATAACGGCCTTTGGACGGACAAGCGCGCGCACGGTCGCACGTCCTCCCACCTGAGAGACACAAACCCATCACCGGCAACATCAGCACAGCCAGAGGTCAGCGCATCGACAGTCGTTACACGGAGCAACGCGTTTCCAACCGTGCATTCATCAGCTCCCAGTCACCCACAAGGGGCCGGGGGAAAGCCTCCTTCAATGGCTCGGTTTATTTTGGGAGATCCACAAGTGTGCTGCGAAAAGCCCTGCCGGGTTAATCCTGCCGGCTGCCCCCGATTCCTGACAACACAGTCAGCTGGAAAACCACCCACCTTCTACTTAACAAGCAGATGCTAATTTTAACTCATTGACTGCCAGAGTTTTTTGAGCATTTTGACTGATTTTTCAAGAGCCACAGAATAGTTTGTGCTATGACTATGTAAACACCGAACACACCAAAAGAAAGAGTAGACTCTCTTCTTTCATCAGGAAAAAAAATGTCTTTCAACCTTATTCCGTTCTCCCTCGACTTGCGTCTCACCGGCGACATGTTCTCTCATAGCGAACGGTTACCTTTTTCTTATTTGCCTACAGTCTCTGCTCATCTCCCATCAAAAGTGGCACTGCCACCTAGAGGGTCAATTTGTTACTACATACTCTGTCTGATATTTACGGACAAGCTTTAGCAGATCGTCCCCCAGCCACTCTCGTTGAAAAACATAAAAGACGTCTATAGACGTCTTTGGCAGCTAATGAGTTAAGATAGTGTTTATTACCATTTTTACATTTTTCCTTTTTGTTCATCGCTGACTCTTCATCATGGATGCGATTACAGTGGCCGCTTGTGTTTTTTATCCTTTTTCTCCCCCTCCCCCTCCCCAGGCCAACTTAATAATCACTCATTACAGCTCCTTTTTTTTTTTTCTTGCTTCCCGAGCAGTCAATTAACATCAGCAGCTATCTGGGAATCGCTAAATCTGCTTTACCTGCAATCTGTCGGCCACATCTGCAAGCGCCTCTCAAACAGAAAGCGGGAGGAGCCCTGTTTGAAAAGCCCCCCACCACCACCCTCTGAAAAAAAAAAAAAAACGCTCCACCCAAACTGGAAGAGTTTGAGCTGAAATATTAATTTACTCCAAAGGCAACGCCGTGAATCGGAGGCATCTTCTAATCTCATGCAAGAAAAGGCAGCCATCTGGCTTGGGAGCGGGAATCTAAAACGAGGAGAGGGGAGAGGCCTCCTCCGTCTCACCCTGCGTCTTTCCCTTCCTCCAGTAAATGCCGACCATTAAAGTAATGCGTTCATCTGCATAAAACCGCGATGGAATGGAGAACATCATCGTTATATGACGGCCATTTAGGCCCCTCAATTAAATCCAGCTGTCGACTTCCAATCAAATATTAGCATAGGAGCTTTGGCTGGGCAGGGTTTAAGAAAACAAAATTATGATCACGGGATAATGCGATGATAACTGTGATCGGGGATGTTTACGATAAGAGTAAAGACCCCTAATGTCCCCTCTGGGCAGAGCTGAACTAACCGTAATAAAGTGCAGGGAGTGATGGAGGAGTGGGGAGAAAAAAAAAAGGAATGAGGGGTTGCAAAATGAGTGTGACAGAGGAGGAAAAGAGGTTTTCCAGGGGATCGCTCCAAGTGTCTGTGGCTCTGAGCTTTTTTCGTTTCCACCCACCTCTCCTGACCTTGATAAACTGGCCCTCGGTGACCCACTCACTTTAACGACGGCCACTGATCACTAGCTGTGATAAAAAAAAAAGGTAGAGGAAGCCACTTAGGAGGAGCAGGATGTCCCTCCTCTCTGCTCCGTCACTCCATTTTTTTTTTGGTGGAGTAATTGCTTTCACCTCTCCAGGTGACCTGGGCAGATTTAATCACACCGTCTCCATCCCCCGGCCGGCTCAATCAAATCGGGCAAATGAACGATGGCGGCACAGGAGAAGCCCCCCCCCCACACGTTTCTCTGCCAGGCCTTCCACGCACAGACACAATGGGGCCCAGCTGTGGTCCCGCGCCACTCGTTTTGCAAAGTGCTGACTCAGCTGAATTCACGCTTTGGGCTCCCCCCCCCCTTAGAGGACAAGCGTTGGCAGAAAATCTGAAGCCGTGTCATAAAGCGATTTCAGATCATTCCAAAAAAAAAGAAAAAAAAGAAGCAATGTCAAGGATTGAGCTGTTAAAACTGCTGAGTTTGAACGAGCCAAACCTTAATGGACGTCATTCAGATCACTGGTCAAAACAGCGATCCAGACGGGGAAAGTCCAGGAGGATAGATTGGACGGGATTTCTTAATGACATTTTTCGAAATCTCTTCAAAGCCGATGTGCTTTCGCTTTTAAGATTAGTGTCACTTAGCAAATTACAGCGCCCGAACAAATAAAGCTCCTATAATGGGCAAAATATGGCTGTTAGCTTAAGTGTTGCAAAGATTTTAGGAGCGTGTTGACATTTCAATACAGAACTAATGCGTCTGTATGCTTCCACACATAAAAAACAGACATTTTTGTACCAAGTTTAAACATCTGTTGTTCGTGACGCTCTAAAAATGTGAATTTCTTGTCCCCTCTGCTAAAACATTTGAATCGAGTTAAATAAATAATTTCCCTCTGGGATTATTAAAGTATTTCTGATTCTGATTCTGATTCTGATTCATCACTATTTACTGCTGGAACAGGCAGTACGTTTTTCCTCCCATTTGTTCTAACTGATTTTTTTCTGAGCTCTGGCCCATTCTAATAAATAGTGTGAAGTTTCTGTGAAAGTTCAAATAAAATGTATCAGGGTTGTCTGGTTGTGTTGACCTATATGGGCTAATATTTGAAAGATATGAGAAAAATAGTATGTAACCATTTAAATCGATACACTTCAGAGTTTTCAACTAGTAGCCTATGATCTAAACTCAGAGAACTCGTTCTGCATTCCTTATATTATATTTAATTCCTAAATGCACTCTCCAGGAGGTAGAGCTGGGCCATCGTTTTACATAAATAGGTATGTTAGCAGCAAATATTAGCAGCAAATGGAACACGTTGTGTTGGAAGATCATTAAATCATTCAGCATTTGCTCTGTCTTTCTGTAGGCCTTAAATCCCTTAATAAATATGAATATATCGAACGTTGGAGTGTTTTTTTGTGCGCCGGCTTTGCTAAATGCAGAGCGATTATTGCTAAAAGGAACAATCTATTATCATTGCTGGTATTCCCTTTTACCTCATTCATCTTACAACCTAACTGGCAAATGCAGTGTGTTCAGGCTTAAACCTCAATAGATATTTCTGATGGGTTTTTTTGTGCTGTTATTAAAACTATTAAAGAGGTTGGCTCCACAATAAAAGAACAAGAAAGTTTCAATGTTGTGATTTTTCAAGATATCATATATGGGATTAACAAACAAACACTGGAACATGCTACTACTTTGGTTTTACACCTTTTCCCTCACAATGTTGTGGTTAGTTACAGTAATTGCAGTACAGTTTTACTTTTATCATCATCATTATGTTTATTATTCTGATTAAATGCTTAAGAGGGTAGTCAACTTAGCTTACCGAGTCCACCCCTAAATATCAGTATTGAATCACTTTTACACTATTTTCAAAATATGAATCTCGGCAAATGTTTGAATGGACTGCTACCAGCTTTAATTTTTATAGTTTTCTTTCAGTGTGAACAGTTTGAATCATTCTATATGTCAGTCTATACAAATAATTAGTGTAATAATCTGTAACAACGTGCTTCACCCATTAAGATTTAATATATCCATGTGAGAAAAGGAAAAAGAAAGACAGAAAGAGGTGGGAGAAAGTTGTCTTGGTTGTGTGCACGTGGGTGTGTAGATGTAAACAAGCCTCGGTTAGCACAAACTTAGGCCTCCTCTCCTAACACACAGAGACGGTGTGAAAATGGAGGCGGAATAGCAAAGCCATCCTGATTTAACTTCACCATCTGTCTTTCGCTGGACTGCCAACATGTGGACGATTTGTTAGCAGTTAAAGAGAAACACGGGTTCCATTTAATCCCCCCCTCCAATTTTAAAACCATCTTCACATTTATTTGCTTCGCTGAGTCTGACTCGAACTAATAGCAACACCGGAACAAAAAACGGAAATGAATTAAAAAGAGATAACACACACTTATGACTTGATTAAAAAATTCTTGTGTCAACTCCTAGTCTTTGTTGTGTAGACAGACAAAGCAAAGCAAATCAATAAAAACCACACCAGGTAAAGGGTTGTTTGGCTAAAACGTTAGCAGGTGCAAAGTCACCTTTCTGATCTAGAGATTACAACAAAGCTGTGATCAAGAACTAATTCATTAGAATGGAATTATCAAGTCGAGTCACATATGGGTAATCAATATTCACTACTTGGATCACAAAAGATCTCACACAAGCCATAGCTCCTGGGAACACACACCCACATGCAGATGCGCTAGGTAAATATCACAAAAGCCTCTGTCTGGCTCAAATAGCCCGTTTTGAAATACTATACTCAAACAAACCTATCCACTTCATAAGGAAGGGAACCTTCTCCTAAGTTAACCTTTCCACCAATCAGTTTGCAGTCCTTTTTTTAGCTTGTTTTTTTGACAGGAACAGAGATTTCTTTATTGATGGAGAGCGCGTTTGTGTGTGGTTTCTGAAAAAAAGAAATGTCAACCTAATCCATGCAGAACTAACAGCAAGTCTCTCTCTCAGGATATTGGATGTGTGCTTTTATATATGTTCCTCCTGGAGAAGAACATGGCAGAAAATGAAGGGAGAGGTGTTTGTTGTGTTTGGAGCATATAGGGGTACAAAAAATGTCTTCTTAAAGACAGAAAATGTAGCTTAGGACTGACATGGAGCGATGCTAATGGGCCGACCTGGTGATTTTGTCGGTGCAGGACATGGTGATGAGCTGTTCCCCCTGTAGCACGCCATCCCAGGTCTGGACCGGTCCCCGGCACCGCACCGGCACCGTGCCTTCTCCGGATTCTATTTTGGTCCGCAGGTGGCTTCGGTGCTTCCTCATCAGGTGTCTGCTGCTGTGTACTGAAAACACGATGCCCATGGGGACATTTTTAGTGATTCGGGACAATATGGGAGCATAAAAAAAACGCTATTATTTCAATTATCATCCATCAGTGTGATCCTATACATTTTGGGGAATTCACAGCAATTGGTCATAATGTAACTAATTGCATGGGTGTTTTAATATATGACACAAGACAAAACAAACAGAACAGAACAGACAGAACAACCCGCATTTAGAACTTTCCTTACTTTCCTCTCGCCCCATCTTGATGAAACGGATCAACTCAAAAACTCTGCATTGGCGGACTAAAGAAAGCCCGTGGTCAGCATTATCGATGATCCTGGCTTTCTTAATATCTTTTTTTCTATGGAACCTCATTAACAAGCTAGAAAATGGAAAACTGTACTAAATCCATACATTTCACAGCAAAGTGAATAGAACAGAAAATAGTCACTGTTTTTGTTTTAATAACTAATCTTCAATCTATGTCTGACTTATTTGCTATCTATCTATCTATCTATCTATCTATCTATCTATCTATCTATCTATCTATCTATCTATCTATCTATCTATCTATCTATCTATCTATCTATCTATCTATCTATCTATCTATCTCAAAAGGTCACAAGGAAAATTCTGTGTGTAAACTATCTAAACAAATATACAATTTATTTTTAGTCTGTAAGCAAGAAAACTTCATCAAGTCAGAAAATTGTGGCTGAAAAAGTCCAAAAAACATGACTTAAAAAGGATTACAGGTCCTTGAAGGGAATAAAAAGCATTCCTTGAAACAATAACTTCTAGAGTTTGTAAAGATGACTCTTGTTTTGGCTGATAGAATAGAAAAAATTAAATAAATAAAACGCATTCATACGAATAGATGACATAAGACGGTGCATCTTGTAATATGTGACCGTGTTTAGTTGTGTAAGAAAGAAAGAAAGCGTGGTGTCTTACGGTCTGTGGTCATTTCGTAGGGCGAGTTGAGCCTTCCGTCTCCACACGGCGAGGTGCTGATGTACATGTGGAAATGGACATTGTCTCTCAATCTGTAGCTGCACTCTTTGTGGCGGACAAATATTGACTCCTCCCAGTCCTCTAGCCTTTTACTGTCAGTGAAAAAAAAGGAGAAAAAGGCAACAAGAAAGAGGGAGACTGATGAGAGAGGTAGCGCCATTCATCACAGCGCGGCGCATGGATTTCCTCTAGAATTAAACAATGATGGAGCGAGTCAGAAAAGCACCGGGATGGACACTGGTTTTGTCCCTGGCCAGGCACACTCCAAAACATTACTCAGATCTTTTTCCCCCAAATAACCCGGAGCTCTGACTTCAGCGCATACAACTTTGAGCAGTGTTTCTCCTCTGAAAAAAAAGAGGTAATCAGTCAGAAGAAGCTGGCTCCGTGATATAATTCACAGCTGCCGTGGAAGCAAACAGCAAGAAATAGAATCTCAATAAATGACGGGAATCTCAAATAGTCTGGAAAGATAGTCGAATATCATCTGCCTCAGATGGATCTCCTAAATTTGTTTGTGAGGTGTTTCTGTGAGTCTTTTCTTCCCACCGTCACCCCATACATGTTCAGGTTAGAAGACTGGATTAAAGATGTTTTGCTACATATTGTTGGTTTCCTTAACAAGGCATTCTACAAATAAATTTTAGTATCAAACTGATTTTATCTGAAAATGATAGAAAAAAAACTGTCTTGAAGTAGGCTGTACCTTAACCCTTTAAAGCCAGATACAAGAAAAAATAGAGATAAATTATTATTATTATTATTTTCAAGTTTTTTTTGGACCTTCAACAAAATAGGAAAAAAAAACAGATATAATTTCTGAATATCCATAATATATAACGGCGAGGTAAGTCAAAATGAGTCAAAATAGTCTTCTGCCCACTGTTATCAGGTACATCTGATTTTATAAAACAGGGTTTTGAACCTTTTTTCTACCAATAAATGATGCAAAAGGTATCAGATGTAAAACATTTCAGAAGCTGTATGTATGAAATATGATACATATGGCATTATAGGGTTAAAATAACATTTGTTGGAAGATGGCACTGTAGAAATAAAATCATAAAGCATGTCAACGAGGGGATTTGGGCAATATACTGGATTTTATTATAGCTATTTAGCTCACTTGATTTTATCATTGATATATCTAACTTTGTAATTACTTCAGATCTATAAAACATGTAATGTAACCAGGCATTGTGGTTTCAATACATTCAATTTATTTTAATGTTATTGGAATTATTAAAGATAAATGCACATTACTCAATAGGGTAATTGTGTAAAATGTGCATCTCTATCACTGACGCTTTGAAACATTTTATTTATGGCATGCCAAACTAGTAAAAGAGCCACTAAAATGTAATAATGATACGTTTAAAAACCATAAATTCCAAACTCTAAAGCTTGATTACCTTTTAACCATAAACTGAATACCTGAACACCAAGTCTGCATGATACAAAGAAAAACAAAAGAGAACGCATAATAATACCAGCAGCTGTTCTCCCTCTGAGCATGATATATAAATAACTGGACCCGTCATGCATAGCAAAACATCCTGATCAGCAAAGCTCAATGACATTAGAGTAGAATCCAGTTCTAATTAGCGATAGCATTAACTGGAAATCCGTTACTCTGTAAATCCATTGTATGACTTTTTAAATTGTTTCTCTTTACAATGCTGTTAATAAAGGTTCATGCTCTCGGCGTTGTATATCCAAAACAAGGCATCGAGATGCAGGGCACGATTTTTCTCTTTACATAACTTCTCCCGCGCCTCTGATGTCCTTTCACTCTGTGTAAATATGGCAGTTCTGGCATTTTCTTTGGCCATTTCATTATGAGTTATCTTCCCCATTAGCCATTTAACTCAGCTGCAAAGTCTCTGCACCTGCCACCGAGCATTGTCCAAAGGCAAAAAGTCAGAGCTGTATATGCAAATATGACATTCAACGATCTGGACTTTTTTTTTCCCACTAATCTGATATATCAGCCTTGCCACAGAGTTCTCTGGTGAGCACAAAAACATAATATATTCTTATGCACTGAAGGTAGGTAGAAGTCCAAATGAATCAAGACATTCTTTTGGTAATGGCACGGCTTAGTACATTTGTGTACCCCATGGGCCACTAAACGTTAAAAAAAGATGCTAATAAAGTAGGGATAAAAACAAAAAGGGCACCAAGAATTGGACTTTGAAGCAACTGAGAGAAGGACGCAGCAATTTCGATAAAGAAAAGATGACATGTGGCGTGTTAAAAGGTGCTGTTTCCATAAATGTATTATAGACTAGGGAGTAGAGAGTACAGAGTTGGTCGTAGCTATTAGAACAAGATATAATGTCATCAAGTAAAGTGTAACGCATTATCTAATGAGAATCCAAAGGAAGGAAACCCGATAAAGTACTGCTTTTCTTCTTATTACATCCACTTTAGAAAATCTTCAAATTTTTCATTTTAAATCGATCAACACTGTCAGGTTTTCCGCATTTGTAGTTTTCTGTAACTTATGTACATCCCTTAAAAACAAAAACACAGAAATTATTAAGTTCTTTGACAGTTTGTACAGCTCCAGATTTTCTGGATGAAGACAAAGCTGGTTTCAAGCTGGGACTGGTGCCACTCATTTGCCTTGTCGGTCTTAGTTTTGATTTGATTTCTGATCTTTTTAGGGTGGAATCATACAAAAATGGCCACAGTGATATAATCTAATCATCATAATTTGAATATATACAATTTCTCACTCTCTCTCTGTATGTATGTATGTATGTATGTATGTATGTATGTATGTATGTATGTATGT